TAAACATAAAAGCATTGAAACTGGAAAGAAATACTTTGTGTTTACAGATGATATTATCTTGCATGTAGGAAACTCTAAAGATTACACACATACACATACACAAAAAATGGTTAGAGTTAATAAACAAAAGAAGAAATTAAGAAAATAATTCTATTTACAATAGCTTCAAGAAGAGAAAAAAACAGCACTTAACCAAGGAGACAAAAGACTTGTAAAATGAAAATTATAAAACATGGCTAAAAGAAATTAAAGAAGATATTAATAAATGGAAACACAACCCATGTTCATGGATTAGAAGACTTAATATTGTTAAGATGTCAATACTACCTAAAGCAATGTACAGATCCAATGCAATCCTATCAAAACCACAGTGACATTTCTTGCAGAAATACAAAAACTTATCCTAAATGTATATACAACAAGAGCCAAAACAAACTTCAACAAATTTGGAAGGATCAAACTCCCTGATTTCAAAACTCACTACAAAGCTACAATAATCAACACACACACTACTAGCATAAAGACAAATATGGAGACCAATGGAATAGAATAGCACCCAGAAATAAAGCCACGCATATATGGTCAAATGATTTTCAAATGGCTTCTAAGACCTTTCAATGGGGAAAGCACAGCTTTTTCAACAAATGATGCTGGAAAAACTGAATATCCACATGCAAAAGAATGAAGAAGGACCCTCACCTAATACTCTTACACAAAAGTTAACTTAAAATGGATTAAAGGCCTAAAAGCATAAACTGAAACTATGAAACTCTTAGCATAAGGGAAAATGTTCAGAACATTGGATATGGGAGTATTTTCTTGGATATGACATCAAATAGAAACATAGATAAACTGGACTTCATCAAAATTAAAACTTCTGGGGGCTTCCCTGACAGTCCAGTGGTTGAGAATCCATGGCTCCACTGCAGTGGGCATGAGCTCAATCCCTGGTCACGGAACTAAGATCCTGCATGCCACATGGCATCACCAAAAAAAAATTTTTTTCAATTAAAAAAAACTAAAACTTCTGTACATCAAATGGCAGTAACAATAGAGTAAAAAGGCAACTCACAAAATGGGAGATCTATCTGCATATCATACTTTATGACAATATTAATATATATTAATATTCAGAATAGAGAGAACTTCTAAACTCACAAATAAAAACAACCTGATTCATCAATGGGCAAAGGAGTCGAATACACATTTCTCCAAAGAAGATACATGAATGGCCAATAAACACATGAGAAAGATGTTCAATAACACTAAAACCATGTCAAAACCACAATGAGATATCGGTTCACATCCACTGGGATGGCGATCATGTAAACACAGAAAGTATCAAGTGTTACAAAGGATGTGAAAAAAACCAGGACCCTTGTGTACTGCTGTGGCAATGTAAAATGATGCAGTTTTACATTTACAGAAAACAGTACAGTGGTTCTTCAAAAAATTAATAATAGGATTATATGATCCAGAAATTCCACTTTCAGAAATATACCCAAAAGAACTGAAAGTATATAGAAACAGATACATGTACAGTGATGTTCATAACAGTGTTATTATTCACAATCACCTAAAGGTGGAAGCAACACAGGTACCCATAGACATTTGTAGAAGACTCCAGAAAGGCAAAAAGCAATCAATACTTCAATTAGAAAAGTTATCTCCAGCCAGTTGTCCTGGGTCTAATACCTCATTTTAAAAAATCATAAATTAAAACAGCAGCTGACTAACCTATTTTTATACTTCGGGATGAGGAGGTCTTCCCAAGAGCAAACCAAAACCAGGAGTCAAACACTGACAGATTTTACAAAATAAAACTTTTAAGTCTCAGTGCCACAGAAGTTACTATAAACAAAGTAAAATTACAAAAACAAACTTGAAAAAAATTTTTCCAACACATATAACAAAGAGATAATACCTTTCATAAGAGTTCTTACAAATTGGTAAGAAACAAATGAAACACCCCAATGCACACAAGACTTAAGAGAAAACTCATGTTAAGAAATACAAAATCCAGGGCTTACCTGATGGTTCAGAGGTAAAGAATCTGTCTGCAAAAGGAGACATAGGTTTGATCCCTGATCCAGGAGGATCCCACAGGCCTTGGACAACTAAGTCTGTGCACCACAAATATTGAGCCTGTGCTCCACAGCTACGTGGCCCACATGCTGCAACTACTAAAGCCTGTGCACCCTAGAGCCTGTGCTCCACAATGAGAAGCCACGTGCTGAGACTGGAGAGCAGCACCCACTTGCCACAACTAGAGAAAGCCTGCGTGCAGCAAGCAAGACCCAGAACAGCTAAAAACAAATACATAAATAATGTTTTAAAAGAGAAATACAAAATCCATCTTCACTAAAACGAGAAATGACTGAAATGAAAACAATTAAGTTTATTTCTGCCAACAAGTCATAAAAAAATTTCAATGATAAGACCTAATTCTGGTTAAAATGCAGGAGAATGGCACTAAGGATTTACAAGAATAAATAGACAAAGACATATTAATATCATTCAGTTCAGTCGCTCAGGAGTATCCAACTAGTTGCAACCTCATGGACTGCAGCACACCAGGCTTCACTGTCCATCACCAACTCCCGGAGCTTGCTCAAACTCATATCTATAGAGTTGGTGATGCCATCCAACCATCTTATCCTCTGTCATCCCCTTCTCCTCCTGCCCTCAATCTTTCCCAGCATCAGGGTCTTTCCCAGTGAGTCAGTTCTTCGCATCAGGTGGCCAAAGTATTGGAGTTGCACCTTCTGCATCAGTCCTTCCAATGAACATTCAGGACTGATCTCCTTCAGGACTGACTGGTTTGATTTTGCAGTCCAAGGGACTCTCAAGAGTCTCCTCCAACACCACAGCTCAAAACATCAATTCTTCGGCACTCAGCTTTCTTTATGGTCCAACTCTCATGTCCATATATGACTACTTGAAAAACCATAGCTTTGACTAGACGAACTGTGTCAACAAAGCAATGTCTCTGCTTTTTAATATGATGTCTAGGTTGGTCATAACTTTTCTTCCAAGGAGCAACCGTCTTTTCATTGCATAGCTGCAGTCACCATCTACAGTGATTTTGGAGTCCAAGAAAATAAAGTCTAGTCTCTCAGTGTTTCCACTGTTTCACCATCTATTTGCCATGAAGTGATAGGACCAGATGCCATGATCTTAGTTTTCTGGATGCTGAGTTTTAAGTCAGCCTTTTCACTCTCCTCTTTCACTTCCATCAAGAGGCTCTTTAGTTCCTTTTTGCTTTCTTCCATAAGGGTGGTGTCATTTGTATATCTGAGATTATTGATATTTCTCCTGGCAATCTTGATTCCAGCTTGTGCTTCATCCAGCCTGGCATTTCGCATGATATACTCTGTATATAGGTTAAAAAAGCAGAGTGACAATATACAACCTTGACATACTCCTTTCCCAGTTTGGAACCAGTCCATTGTCCCATGTCCAGTCCTAACTGTCATTTCTTGACCTGCATACGGGTTTCTCAGGAGGCAGGTATGGTGGTCTGGTATTCCCATCTCTTTAAGAATTTTCCACTGTTGTGATCCACACAGTCAAAGGCTTTGGCATAGTCAATAAAGCAGAAGTAGATGTTTTTCTGGAACTCTCTTGCTTTTTTGATGATCCAATGGATGTTGACAATTTAATCTCTGCTTCCTCTGCCTTTTCTAAATTCAGTTTGAACATCTCGAAGTTCACAGTTCAGGTTTTGTTGAGGCCTGGCTTGGAGAATTTTGAGCATTTCTTTACTAGCATGTGAGATGAGTGCAATTGTGTGGTAATTTGAGCATTCTTTGGCATTGCCTTTCTTTGGGTTTGGAATGAAAACTGACCTTTTCCAGCCCTGTGGCCACTGCTGAGTTTTCCAAATTTGCTGGCATACTGAGCACAGCACTTTCACAGCATCATCTTTCAGGATTTGAAATAGCTCAACTGGAATTCCATCACCTCCACTAGCTCTGTTCGTACTGATGCTTCCTAAGGCCCACTTGACTTCACACTCCAGGATGTCTGGTTCTAGGTGAGTGATCACACCATCATGCTTATCTGGGTCTTTCAGATCTTTCTTTGTATAGTTCTTCTGTGTATTCTTGCCACCTCTTCTTAATATCTTCTGCTTCTGTTAGGTCCCTACTAACTGTGTACTAACTGACTATGTACTAACTATGTACTACTAAGTGACATCCCCAAGCTTTTTAACCATTTTTTTTCTTATTTACAACCAACATATGAGCCTCTCTAGTACTCTGCTACAAAGTCAATCAGTCATGTCCAACTCTTTGTGACCGTCTGGACTGTAGCCTACCAGGCTCCTCTGTCCATACGATTCTCTAGGCAAGAACACTGGAGTGATTGCCTCGCCCTCCTCCAAAGGGTCTTCCCCACCCAGGGACTGAACCCGCGTCTCAGGCATCTCCTGCACTGGCAGGTGGGTCTACCACCTTTACCAGCAGTGCCGCCTGGCACTGCTGCTTTCCATTTCTCCTATTGGTTCAGTTAAGCCATGTACCAATTCAGCAATTTGGTACATACAAAACAATGATCAGGAATGCATACAATCACTCATTCAGCAGATGTTTAGTGACTAGGCAGAGTTCTAGAATCTAAGCATAAAAACAACAAAAAAAGCAAAGAAGAAGGGATGGATGGATCAATGGAGAAACAGATGGGTGGGGAGCACAAAGAAAGATGAGGAATAGACATATGTCAGGGGAATGAATTTCAATTAGAAAAGATGCAGTAGGTAACTAAATTTTCATTACAAGTCTACATTCATTTTCCCAAAACACAAGTAAAGTGACCAGTACTTTCTGAAACTGACTCTTAACTATGGGCTGCTGGTTCCCATAGCGATTCCAGTCACCAGGGGAGAAAAGTTAACACTAGTTATTTCGCAGTAACACATTTGTCCCGGGGGAGAACAGAAGAAGGCTCCTGAGAATAAGTGCACAGTTTATTTTGAGTAGAGTCGTCACTAAACATACCTTTCAGATAAAAAGAAGCTCTTGTGAGGATTTAGACTGTGACAAGATTCTAGGCTGCCATCAGATGATGAAGGAAGCTGCTCTGATTGCAAGTTCTCTGTATCACCCAGACTGGCCTCAGTGACAGAGGAGGTCGTTATGTATTTTCTTCCTAACTTCGTTCCCAGGACATTCGTCAATATAACTCTGGGTATCCTGTCATATAAAATAACAAACACTGTACTACACTGAAATTTGCAGTAAAAAAAAATTCTAGGAAGTTGAAGTTTCAAACATTTTCAACTTGGCGTAAGTAAGCTATTAGAATTATACCATCCTGGAAATCAACCCATAAATACTCAAAATTTTGGATGAACACTTTTGTTTCTGAAAGTACTTACATCTTATAAACTGGCATAGATTGGCCTGCCACTATATGGCTTTAACTATACTAGTGGACATTATTGGAACTGCTTAAAATTTTAGCCAATTTTTCTCAAAAACCAAAAAAAAAAAGTTTTTCTTTTCCAGTAGTTATTAAAAATACAGAAACTACAAACCAATTCAAAAAAAATCTTTTTCTCTTTCAACAGAAAGGGCCTTGGTAAATAATAACATATTCATAATTGGCAAATGATAAATGCTAAATCTAACAAGAAAGACATCATTCAGACTGCATCTATGGTAATGACAGATTCCTTAAGAGAAACAGCACATATATTGATGGTAATAAATATGCTTTACATAATAGCACCAGGAAAAAGCGTCAACAAAATTAATGTTTAGAAAAGTAAAGCATAATTTTTAAATTGGTGGGATTCATATAAAAACTAGTAATGTAAGCCTGTTATCTTCTTAAACAGAAGAGGATGGCCTAACCTTCTCCTGGTTGCTGCTGCTGCTAAGTCACTTCAGTCATGTCCAACTCTGTGCGACCCCATCCCTGGGATTCTCCAGGCAAGAATACTGGGGTGGGTTGCCATTTCCTTCTCCAATGCATAAAAGTGAAAAGTGAAAGTGAAGTTGCTCAGTCATGTCTGACTCTTCGAGACCCCATGGACTGCAGCCTACCAGGCTCCTCCGTCCATGGGATTTTCCAGGCAAGAGGACTGGAGTGGCGTGCCATTGCCTTCTCTGAAACTTCTCCTGGTTAGCCAGCTGTTCTTATGAACAACTGATACTCTTTGCAACACTACAATGATGTCTTTAAGGCAAATATCTGACCCTGAACTGACAGGCCTAGACCAAATTATCGTGATTTTTAAAATCTGTGTTACCGTTTTCTTTCAGTCTTCCCATCTCCTGTTTATGAGCTGTCCCCCGCCTGTCACTTGTAGCACTTTACTGACATTTTGTGAGAAGTAACAGGTAACACCTAGAAAGGACCAAAGCACTTTTGTTCAAGAAACAATGTGAGCTTCCCTGTATTGTGCCGCATTTGCTATACCACTCAGAGGTACCCTTCAACGTTCCGTACAGAACAGAAGCACTGTGTTCTTTTCAGTATGTTCCCGACCATGTAGAATTTCAGATCCTAGGAGAACTGTAAACTAATTCAGTCTCCTCTCTATTTTAAACATGAAGAACTCAAAGCTCATAAAAGTTAAATGGTTGCCCAAGTATACGCAACTCTAGCTCCTAGAAGAACCTGGGCTTTTGGGTTTTTTAAATTTTATTCCATTACACTGCATTTTCAATACTAACTTGCCACAGCATCCAGATAACCTGAGTTTCTGTGTAGATACTTTAGCAATCTTTAAATATATCCATTTCCAGCACAACCTCCACAAAAATGTACCGGGTTGACTAAGCAGTATATGATCTAAAACCAGGCTAGGTAAATACAACTCTCTGAACTCAAGAGTTTGAGTGAAGGAAGAAAGGAAACAAAGTAAGCCATTTAGCACAATCAGGAGCTGTGGAGAGTGAAGAACAAAGACATTTGTCTTTCCCCTCTCATGATTTAAGCCGCTAAGAACCCTATTACTACTGTCTGCTTTGCGTATCTGATGCCTGACAGAACCCCCCGCAAAGTCCTGGACTTGAAGTAGGAATGAAGACAGCAAAGGACCAGTAAGGCGTCCCAGCATTTCTTCTGCCTGACCTCACACCCGGAACTGCTGTGATGTGAATAAAGAAAACCCAACTGCAGCTCTCGATCTTTAAGGAGAATGTAGGAATATCAGAAGAGAGAATTTTACTAAAGTAAGAACTATTTTTCTTTAAATCAGTCAGTCCAGTCGCTCAGTGGAGTCCAACTCTTTCCGACCCCATGGAATGCAGCACGCCAGGCTTCCCTGCCCATCACCAACTCCTGGAGCTTATTCAGACTCATGTCCATCAAGTCACTGATGCCATCCAGCCATCTCATTCTCTGTCGTCCCCTTAAATTTTACTTCCTTTTAAGAGATGAGAGAATTTGATACACTAGCTGATAGCTCATTTTGAGAATTGATGATATACTCTTCATGATCCCCTATCATTAGTAGTTCATAACAAAATAATTCAAGAACTGTAGTATTTAAAATAAAATGTGGAGGATAGAAGAATACCAAAAACAAAACATCAGCTATAATTTACTTGTTTAAATGCCTGACTATAGTATGTTTAAGTATGTTTTTAAATGTTGAATCCCTAAAGAAAACTCCAAATAGGAGAGATAAAGTCCATAGAAGCGTAGTTCTCTACAAAGTACTGAAGAGAATAATCAGTAAAAATAAGCAAACAAAAAAATTTACAAATATCAGCAAGGAAAAGAATAATTATAAAGATTAGAATTCTCTTTTGAATATCGAACGATCATTCTATTCCATTATGGTTTGTTTTGCTGCTAGACTGTTGAAGAAAGAAAAAGCAGAGCTATGAAAAAAGAACCTTAGAGGGTAAATGAGAATTTTTAAGCTAAACAAATAGTTTAAAAGTCTTTCCTAGAAGACAAAAATTTGAAAACTCTCCCAAAACCCATTTGAAAAGATTATACACGAAACTACAACAGAACCCGCAGCTCTAAAGGACAAAAGCCCTAAAGGGCCTCTGAAGCTACCGGAAGGCTCAAGGAGCTAACTCAGTATGTCTACCATAGCATACCTTTCAATTAGAAAGCATTCTACTACTGTGAACAAATGCCACAAGAAAAAAATTAAAAATAAGAATATTTAAAGGTTAATGAATTCAATATCATGTAAAATATGTAATAAAGTCCAATTCCTACTTTACTTATGAAAAAAGTTAAAGGTCAGAAATATGAAAAGCAGTATGGGCAGAGAGGTAGTTAAGAGCAAGGACTTTGGAGTCAAACACAGGGTGAAGTGTTTCAACTTCAACTAGTAATTATATACCCTTAGGTCGGGTACTTACCATAATTTATGCCTCTTATCACTGATCTCCTCATCTCTAAGATGTGGAGAATGGTAATATCTACCTTAAAAATGATTAAGATTAAATGAAATACAAGATGTAAAGCAATTAGCACAAGTTCTGGCACATAGTCAATATATAATAAATGGAAGCTCACTTTAATCTTCCTACTATTGAAGTCTTCCCCAAACTTATAAATTATCTTTTCAATTAGCATTTAATTGTCATAATTTATCATGCTCTGCTCTGCAATCTTAATGAAAACATCTTCTTAGAAAAGCATATAATTAAATAGTTAGCAATACCTATAGTACTCCTAGCTCTTCATAACACACACCATAGCCCAAATATCTTTCTTTAATTATTTACAACTTAATGTAATTTGGGTACCTTGAAGAAATAGAGTTTTGTGTGACAACCTTACAGAATACAAATCTATAAAGTGATAACTAAGTTCATAATATCTAAACAGTCTTTTGATATACAATTTATAAATTAGCACTACCATAGAAATTCTAGGGCTAGCCAGCAGTACAAAAGATTCTGGACATTAACAAGAAATATATAAAAGTATATACTTCATCTCTTATACTATCTCAACATAGCTGGAAGGACTGAAAGTTACCATTTCACACAGTCCATTCAATTTTTTTCCCAAGTACACAAATAGTATCAGTAAGTAAAACAGATTTAATTTTACTTCCTAATATTATAAAAGTGAAAGTGTTAAGTCACTCAGTTGTGTCCAACTCTTTGTAACCCCGTGGACAGTAGCCTGCCAGGCTCCTCGGTCCATGGAATTCTCCAGGCAAGAATACTGGAGTGGGTGGTCATTCCCTTCTCCAGGGGATTGTCCTGACCCAGGGATTGAACTTAGGTCTCCTACACTGCAGGCAGATTCTTTACCGCCTGAGCCACCAGGAAAGCCTTAATATTATGCTGAAAGCACATTTCAAAACATAATATGCGAAACCAAAGAAGAACCAAATTTTGTAACACAGTGAAATGAAGCAGAAAGTATATTGGCCTGAGAAATAATATCATTTATTGAATGTGTCTCTATACACATTCTGGTCCTTAATTGTTTCAATTACAAATTATGAGTTCTACCCCACATATAAGTAGCAAGGTAAATATAAGACTGAAGTAAAAAAATGGGAGAAAACTTTGAAAATCTGATAGGAGCTATTAAGATATCCTTGATGTTAAGAGCAAATTTTTAAAGAAATGGAACCCTTGTTGACAGATAACATAATTGCATCTGGCATTAAAGCTATAAATAACAAGTAAAAAAAATAACAATACTAATTTAGTTTTTATTTTGCTGCAATTTAGATGAACATTTTGCTAAAATTGTGCTGTGGCATTTTAATAGGGTTTCTAAAAATCTATTCTTATCCCAGATGGTATCATTCAAAATACTACTTTCTAAATCAGTTTAAGCTACATAAAATTTTTTTTAATTTTTCAATTACCTTCTTAAAATAATACACAATTTTCTAAATTTACCCTTCTCTTTTACTAAGCAATATTGTAAATGAATAAAGTATTACTCAATTAAACCATTGCTGGCTTAAATAAGTCTTAAGGTTACAGGAATAACAGGGTGTCCAAAAAGTCATACCATCACAATATTTGGAATATGTAAATCTTTTAAACTCCAAACATATATAAACTTAAGAAAAACACAGATAACTATAATTACACCATTTAGGGAAATCCCAAGAACCAGGAGTTAACTTTTTTTAACAGAATATTGTACACTGTCTCAGTATTACTCTAATAATCTCTGGTGTTAATCAATGAAGACAAGATAAAGACGGTTTACCTGCTCAAAAGTTTTGCATGTATCTCCCACTAGGTTCTTTCTTGCCTACTGACCAAGGCTTATAAAGATCTGGAAATATTCTCCCAGGAAAACAGATATGAGCCACATATGGAGATAAAACCTAAACTAAAATATGGTTTATTTATTTTAAAAGAAATGTGTGTATCCCACACACTGCCAGCTTGACATTTCTAAAACTCTTGACTCTTTCCTTCATTATTTAACAAGATTGATTGGGATCACGTATTTTCTGTTTTTCTTCTTAACTTTATCCAGAAATTAAAAGGCTAAATTTTCTTCATTAAAGGGCAACATACTTAGATCACTACCTTTAGATCCCAGAATGCACTTTTCTGTACACCAGAAACCATTACAATATTGTAAATCAACTATACGCCAATATAAAATTTTAAAATTACTTAAAAATAAGTAGATGAAACTTAAAAAAAAAAAGAAGAAGAAGAAGCCATTGTTGGGAATGAATAAGTAATTTTGGTTTACTTGGTAGTTAAATTTGAAGTTAAAATTAAGAACCAAACATAAGTTTTTCTTCCTTTCATCTTTATGAAATAATGACATCTTAGCCAAGTAAAATGAAAATAAGACAAACAATATCATGTCAAAGTTAAGCAAAGACTGAAGTCTAAGTCTCCTATTCTAGATAGCAAGTTCCACACAGAAAACATCTATCCAAACCTATACCCTAAAAAGCTCTCCAATTTTCTTATTTGAAGCTTATAGTATCTCTTTTCCTGTTTGAGACCAAAATTACAGAGCAGATAATTGGTCTGGATGGAGGAAAAGACATTTCAATCAAAGAGACTGAAAATATAACTGCCAAGTAATCTCAGCAAACGTTTATTAAGAATTCAGTATGTGCCCAGTACTGTGCAAGGAAAAAATAATAAAATGTAGTCTCTGCCCTTACGAATCTTATAGTAAGGGAGGCAGAGAAATCACATTAAGTGTGATGGGTGCTATGATATGGAACAGGCAGCTTCCCCAGACAAAGAAAGGGATCAAATGCAGATGTGGCAGCTGGAATGGAAGAAGGCTTCCCAAGAAGATGGAAATGAGTTCAGTGTTAAAGACCAGTATCAGTCAATAAAGGGGAAAAGGAAATTCTTCCCAAGATAAGAGAACAAAAAGCATGAGCTCACAGGTATAAAACAACATCATACATTCAGTGAGCTACCAGCAGTCCCCTAATTCTAAAGCACAGTACCGAATGTGGAAGAATAGACAGACACAAACCTAGAGACAATCAAGGTGCAACCATTATGAATGTTGTAATGTCAAGGTAAAGTTTGAACTTTATCCTAAAGATTATCTGGAGCCACAGAAAGATGTTAAATAGTAGAGTGACACATAACATCTTCATACTTCAGCAACAATATGGTGAAATAACCAAGAAAAAAAAAAAAAGACTATGCACAGGAAGCCCAATAAAATTACGATCAGAGTAATAAAGGCACACAGTTATCAGGGTTTGAACTGAGGCAGTGGTGATAAAGAGGAAGAAAAGATCATTTGAAGACAGACTTAGGAGGTAAAAATAATTAGACTTGATAAATGATTAGATACAAAGGCTAAGGAAAAAACAGGAGCCAGGACAATTTCTAAGTTCTAATATGAAGAACTAAGTGTAAAAAGGAGTCATATATTCAGACAGGGAGGAGATACAGAAAAAGGAACAAGTCTGAAAACAAAGATGATTCACTCACTTTGAAACAAGCTAAACCTAGGACACCTGGAGCTGAGGGTAGTTCATCTGAGTAAGGGAACAGAAACACACACATAGAGTAAAAAAACAAATTAGAACCTTATCGGGACTCTATTTCACATTATATTCAAGTTTCCTGAACACATAACCTAGCTGCTACCAATTTCTGGTGAGAAAAACTATTCTGGGGGATGAAACATTACACTGTTCTAATCACAGTGTTCTAATTCAAAAAGGTTCTAATTCAAAAGACATGGGATGAGGAGATGGATGTCATCTGGAGGACAGCTGGAGCTTCTTCTCAAAAGAACCAAAGGGATTGGAAGGGCCATCCCTTTAACTAGCGCCCTTTACTTAGATCTAGCAGCACAGTAAAGGCATAGCTCACCTGTACTAAGGAGGAAAACATTGGGCTTCAGGACAAAGAGAGTTCTTTATAAATTACTAAAGCTGAGAGTCTAAGATTTGGGGTACTTCAGAAAGTTTAATTTACATCAGGCATAATACAGTACGGGAATTCTTGTAACACAGCTTTTCATGTTTTTGCATTTGTTAAAAGAAGTGTCCTTTAAAAAAAAAAAAGAAGTACTGCACAATACTATGTTCAGATGTTCTGACAGAGTTCTACTTTAATTTTTAAAATAATTGTGTTGAAAGTCACCAACTTTCAGCTAGATCTTGGCTTAAAGCACTTATAAATTGTTATCCAGGGACTTACCCGGTGGTCCACTGGCTAAGACTGCACTCCCAGTGCAAGGGGCCTGATTCAATTCTTGACCAGGGAACTAGATCCCACATGCCACAACTAAGACCCAGCACAGCCAAATAAATGAATAAAAAATAAATATTAATAATACTGCTAAAAAAAATTGCCATTAAGGTTACAGACCAAATAATCAAAGCACCATCTAGCTAATGACAGGCTATTCTAATTGAAACTAAATACTTTCCCTAAAAAAATAATTCATTTAAGGGTTAAAACTGTAAATGGAAATACATTAAAAACATTATGTTATAGGTCACAAATTCCCAGAGCTAATTTCAAATTTTCAGTCCCAAACTTCACATACAATTTTTTTTTAAAATATAGAACAACATGGGTCTTGTTAGCTTTCAAAATTAAACTGCATATTTATTATTAAAAATCTGGGAGTAATATTTCAAAATCATCTCCTGTTTTTAAAAATGCATGTAAAATACAAGAAAGCTCACAAAGTAAAAAGTGGTAAGGGCCTAGATTAAACAATACTTAAAAAGCATGTTAAAGATGCTTGGCATGCTGCAGTCCAGGAAGTCACAAAGAGTCAGATGCAATTAAGCAACTGAACAGCAGTAAATGTTAAAAGATGCAGAGAATTAAAAAGATCCATAGATAGACAGACAGACTTGTTTTTTAGTTTTTCTTTTCATCTTTAACATACCTTTGAGATAATATTTAGGTCCTTACCAAACAAAATCTAGGTCCTTATCTACCTGTCTATATCTAGTTCTTGATTTTATATATGTGAATCTTTAAAAATATGTATATGTGAATCAAATTATTAAGTTAAAAGTACAAACTTTTATTTGTTAGTACTATTTGTACTATTTGTTCTAAAAATAACTCTAACCCGATCGATTTAGCGAACTGGAGAGTCATTAAGTTTGTAAATTAAGATTGTCAGCTTTAAGACTTGAGGGAGTCACACGTGTATGTGCCGATGTTCTTAAAGACCATTTCCAACGATCTTATTTTTAAGATCATTGGACTTAAAGTACTTCCAGTGCAGTAAGCTGAGCAAAATCAATACTGAACAACATACCTTTCAGATAAATTAAGGCTTTGGTGAAGAAGTTCTAATTTGTGACATGTCTCTAGGCTGTCAACAGATGTCGAAGGCAATGAGTCTGATTGCACCTTGCTGGCATCACATAAATTAGCATCGTTTCTAGGTAGGGTCTTTCTGAATTTTCGTCCTAAATCCGTCCATAGGACATTCGTCAACATAACTCTGAGTTGCCTGTTACACACATAAATAATTAATCATACAGTACTAAATATTATATAATACATGTATTCATCACAAATTATAACAAATGATAACCTTCAGGAATTCTAATTCAGTTCTTCAAGCAATTAACCAGAGTAGTAAATACCATAACTAAAAAATCTGCCTAACCATTCTCAAATATACATGAAAAACTAAAGCACATTTCACTTAAATTGGGATTTTCTTCAGACTTCTGTCTGAGATACCACAACTGTGGTCACACACATGCACAGCTGTTGGGATTCCTGGTAACCAAACTGTGCTTAGCCCACACTATCAGTGGAACAACAATATTCATCTGCACATCACCTCACAAAGGCAACCACTTTCTGCATTACAAATGTGTTCTTAGTTTAGTATTTGCTGGTTTAGAAAACATAATTAAACCTAAAGATAACAGTACATCATCTACAGTCTTAACCCTATATAGTCTTAAGATACATTTAAGTTTACCTTATTTCTAAAAATAGGTTAATTTAAAACACTGTATGTATACCAATTTCAAAAGTAAAATTGATAAATCCTGCTTATCATTGATAAAGCACTGTCAGCTTTTTGCCTCATGACATTTTACCCATTACTCATTCAACGTATCTTTGTACCAATAATACTTGAAGAACTGTGTTCAGTTCTTGAACCATGAAACACAGTACTGTGAACAGGCTACCAAGTTGATGTAAAACAATGTCAAATGAGGAATTGTGGGAAGAACTGAAAAAGTTTAATTAGAAGAGTGTCTATTCTACTCCCTAGTATCAGTTTTAGGCCCTTGTTGTTTAACAAAAGTAAGACTATTAAGAAACAGAAAGCAGTGTTTGTGCATTTTTGAGATAAAACAGATGTCAAAGAAATGACTTGTTTGCACCTGCCCCTGGGGCCTGTATCTTCAGATCACACAGCAGAAGCGGGAGCTGCTCCTTCCTCTAAGGAGCCGCTGCAGAAAGCACTGAAACGCCACACATTTCGGGTTTAAAGAAAAGCTTGTAGATTTTAGGATTATCATTAAACAATAAAAAGATGAGAGACATTGCTATGAATGAATGGAAGTTCATTCTTCATCCAACAAATACTTACCAAATACCTTCTAGCAAAACAATTGGCAACAAACAACACAGTTACAGTTCCTGCCTTTGTGGAGGTTACATTTCAAGGAAGAATTATCCAATTAGCTATTTAATTACAACTGTAATGAGCAATATGAACAAAAAGTACAGATGCTGCATTTCTGCTGAACCAGATAAGGTAAGTTTTACTGAGAATATGACTTTTACTGAAGTTGAAACTATCCAAAGGAAACAAGTGGAAAATGGAGAGTGGTTCAAAAGGAGGATAAAATGTAAATGCTCAGACATGAGGAAAGTTTGTTCAAGGAAATTAAAGGACTTACCTGGCTGAAGTGCTTAGAATGAAGAGGAAATCTGTATAAAGATGGGCATTTAGGCAGAACTGTGTGGACTATATTGAGGATTTGAAACTTTAATGTCAACAACAGTATCAATCCCCTAGTTTTAATAAAAGAATGATGATATCATAGCTGTATTTTTAAAAAGATGACTTTGATCTTTTATAAAGAATAAAGAAAACATGAAGAGAAAAAATAATGAATTTAGAGAGGTGATGGTGACTTAGGGATAGTTTATGGAATGGTGGGAGCAGAAATAGGAAAGAAAAGGGACATGGACACAGCAAAGGTAGGCAGTTGACACAGAGCTATGAAAGGGGAATATAGGACAAGGGCTGAGGATAAATGTAAGATTCAAGATAGGTCTGAGTTAATTATTGGTTACTTAGCTTAAGATAGAAAATATTTGTGTAAGTTTAAGTGCTTATGGGAAGAGGTCAACAAAATAGGAGAGGTTTAAGATACAGGAGACAGAATAATTAACATTATAATTAAGTTTCTTAAGAAGTGGCATAAAAAGAGCTAATATTTATTGAACATGCACCATATACCAGAAACTATGCTAAGCCCTTTACAATGATTTACCTCATTTAATCCTCACAACTAATCCATGAGGTCAAAAGTATGGTTTTTCCAGTGGTCATGTATGGATGTGAGAATTGGACTATAAAAGAAGGCTGAGTGCCGAAGAATTGATGCTTTTGAACTGTGGTGTTGGAGAAGACTCTTGAGAGTCCCTTGGACTGCAAGGAGATCCAACCAGTCTATCCTGAAGGAGTTCAGTCCTGTGTGTTCATTGGAAGGACTGACGCTGAAGCTGAAGCTCCAGTACTTGGCCACCTGATGTGAAGAGCCAACTCATTAGAAAAGACCCTGATGCTAGGAAAGACTGAAGGCGGGAGGAGAAGGGGACGACAGAGGATGAGATGGCTGGATGGCACCACCGACTCAATGGACATGAGTTTGAGCAAGCTCCAGGAGATGGTAAAGGACAGGGAAGCCTGGCGTGCTGCAGTCCATGGGGTCACAAAGAGTCAGACACGCCTGAGCGACTGAACACCAACAACTCCACGAGGTACAGAGGTAACTGCTCCTCTGTAACTGAGGAGACCAGGACAGCATGATTAATAACTCGGCCCACAGTAAAATGGGTTGAATAGTGAGAGTGGGATCCAGAGCCATACACTCTCAGCTCTGTCGATAGCACTCTTAACTGCTCCACTGTGCTGGTTTATAATGGGCTTCTTCCAGAAACCAAGATCATTTTCTCAGAGTGATATGAAAGGGAAAGGAACACAGGGTTGAGGGGAGAAAAGGCTTCAAGTCTTCTCTGTATAGAGGGGGAACACAAGACGACTAGCAAAACACAGTAGGATTATTTTGGGATTGAGAAATCCAGTAAGATTAATAATTATGAATTTATAATGCCACAAACATACTCTGTTTTACCATTTTTTTCCCATTAGTGCTCAGCCACCTTGATGTCAGCACAATGCAAACAGATAATCAGGTTCACAAACAATTATTAATTATGAAGGAAAAAGGCATCTTTGTAACTAAACATCTGGCAGCTAGCACCTTAACCAAGTGATCAAAGATAAGGCCACCAACAGTGGGACAAGGAGATATTATATATCCTCTGATGTGATGCAATAAGCAAATGACATCAGCTATGAAGCATTCTTGTCAAAAATGTAACATGAACCTAATCATAAGGCCAAACCTAGACAAATTTTAACACTCTAGTATATAAGACATCCTAACAAGACAACTGGCCTGAACTCTTCAAAAAAGTCAATGTCATAGTTTAAGGGGGTGAAGAGATGGAGGGATTATTCTAAGATTAAGAGACTAATGAGACATGAAAACCAAAAAATATAATACATGAACCTCAATTTGATCCTAGATTAAAAAAAAAAGACATCTTGGGGCCATTTAGAGAATTTTGATTCTAGATTTTATATGAGATGATAATATGAAAATATTATAGGGATTTCTCTGGTGGTCCAGAGATTAAGAATCCGCCATGCAGTGCAAGGGATGCAGGTTCGATCCCTGGTCAGGGAACAAAGGTCCCAAGTGCCATGGAGCAAACAAGCCCGTGTGCTGCCCTAGCGGAGTTTCTGTGTGCCGTAACTACCGAAGGCCACACAGAGCAGCTATTGAGCCCGTGTGCGGCAACTGGAGTCTGTGCTCTGTAACCAAAGATGCCACATGATGCAATGAAGACCAGGCGTGCCACAACTAAGACTCGACACAGTCCAATAAATAAATTAATAAATATGTTTAGTGTAATTAAAAGCAAAGATGATATTAAAAAAGAAACTAGTATAAATCTTCTTCCTGATGTATTGTGGTTATCAAGTAAAAGAATTCCTTGTTTTTAAGAAGCACAGGCTAAAGTAAAGTGCCTGATGTCTGTGACTTATTCTCAAATAGTTCTGGAAAAAAAAATGTGTATGTGAATGTGCATATGTGACAGGCACTTAAATATATGAATGAAAGACTGAGAAAACATAAAGGTGGGGAAATGTTAACATATTTTGCACGTTTGTTATTCTTAACAAAATAATTCCACACCTAGAATAAGGTACCAAAAAAATACAAAACGGATGGGGAAAAGTTATGCATGAAGATATTCATCACAGTATTATTTATAACAGCAAAAAATACAAGCAACTTTAAAATCCCAGCAATAGCAGAATGGTTAAATATATACCATGATAAAACCACTTAATAGAATGTTACTTATTTGGTCTCTTAAAATCTTCTACTTTAAATTTTAAGGGTGGCTGGCTGTGTTTTTTCCTGCTTTCTATTTGTCTTTATTTTTATTTTCTATGCTAAGCAAACACTATTTATGTAGAGAAACTGTCAACCAATTAATCCTGTAAAGAGCAGTAAACATGTTTACCAAGCCAAAAACTATCTATTAATTAGTGAAAAGAAACTATTTTTTACATTCAGGATTACTCTTTTATACGGTTTTACAACAATTTTATAACTTAAAATTCTAAATGATCAAATGAAAACATTTGTAAGATCTTAAGGATATATAAGGTCTACTTTTCAGTCTAATTAGAAAACTACTAACTATTAGTAATTTGCTACATTATTTGAAAAAATATCCCAATGGTAATTTAAAAATTGTTAAATATGAAAATATCCAGTGTTGGAAAATGTCATTTTTCTGTTCACCCAAATCAAGTAAGAATCACCATTGGTACATGTTATGCATGGCTGAGTCCCTCCAATCTTCACCTGAAACGACCACAATATTGTTCATTGGCTATACTCCAATACAAAATAAAAGTTAAAAAAAAAAAAGAATTACCATTGGTGATTTTACTGGTAATTCTAATTATTGGTTCTAAGTGAAAAAGACAATTTGGGTTCTCTTTGAAAATACTTATTTCACGTTCATAAATTTGCTTTATTGTAATCTAATAATATTCTAAAGCAGAGGGCAGCAATCTTTTTCCCCAAAATTAAAGGTAAATTTTTAAAACTTCTATATTTAAATGCCTTAGCATTCTTTTTAAAATTTTAAAAATTTTAAAAATCCTTT